GCGGGACTGTGGATGCGTACTGCCCGTGCCTGCCATTGGCTCAATGGGCACAGAGACGCGTGTGCCTTTGTGGTGCCGTGGCACGCGCCGCTGCGCTATGGAAAATAAAATCCAATTGTGAATGGGTGGGAGGCTGTTGCATGAGTTCGATTCCCGACCACGCCTTAATCGGCGGTGTGGTATACGAGCCAGTGCTGGGACTCCCACCTAGGTGAACTCAGCCGTAAATGATCTATCGGTGCTGTATGTGTGGACATCATCGCCTTAGGGAGACAAAGGTGGCCGGGTGCGGTGGCGGCCACACCACCGGCTCGTGTGCCACGTTGGACTTCACATAGATACTCGTTATGAACAAACACAGCCAAAGATCCCCCGTGTAGCCTTAACAGACTGTTAGGGCAAGTGCTGTTAGCGAGCACCTATTAAGGCCGACACGGCACACGAGGGGATGGGTCGCCAAGACCACGCTCGGCCGCCTTTGTCTCCCTAGTGGCGATGTTTACACACCACACCAGGTACTCATTTAGGCTGAGTCGACCTAGGAGATGCCCAGGAGCGGTTCTGACAATCGTCACTGGTGTTGACCGTGAGCGGGAATCGAACTCGGGTAGCCGGGTTGCTAGTGCAGCGCGCTAACTGCTACACCACCGCTCCACACGTATTCCTTACACGCAACTGTCCCAGCCCACACACACACACGCAACTGCCCCTAGATGCGTGTGTGTGTGCGTGTGTGCGATACGACAAGTGAAAGGCACCGAGACAAACACCAACGTCAGACAAAATAAAATGACACAATTCCCCAAACGGCGCTCGAACAGATGAGACGAGGATCTTCACTCTTCATCCCCCCCCTTCTACCTCTGTTGTTGTTGTTGTTGATGATGAAACGCAGTCACGGCGAGTCGAGCGGACTCGCGGGGCGACGAGACGGAATTAATTTGGGGTCCTTTGTTCTGACGCTGGGCGATTTGAAGGCCGCGCGCGAGACCCCGACTCGCTCACGCTGGGATGGCATCACGTGGGATGCAGTCGTCTTGCCTCACATTTATACTTCATCGCTGCCCTTCATTTGCGTTTGTTTTGCGTTTGTCATTTTGAGTGACCCAGGTCACTCTTGCAAATGAAACTCCATCCTGGCGTCTGGAGTGCTCGGCTGGTTCAACAAAGCCCGACATCTCGATGTCCTCCTGCCGCCTCGAATGATCCTCCCGAAAGCCCACGAGCCGTGATGGTGTCCGAGACCGCCGCCTGACGACTTGTTGTTTAGCTGTTAACATATATATGAAACAAAAATATAATCACGTACAATACTTTGCCAATCCCCTGCTGGATGTAGGCCTCCACATACCGTGTCGGCTGTTTGACCATACTTCACCACACTGGTCAGTGCGGTTTGGTGAAGGGGTGGCCTAAAAAAACGATTCGGAGAGCACTCTCCACTGATGTTAGCCATGGCCATGAATTGAACTCGCGTGACCGGATTCATAGCGCGCTGACCACTACTTTCCTGCTCCTCTGTGGTCTTCCCTCCCGTTGTCTCCTTTCCCAGTTTCCAATAACCTCGCTCAATTCAAGAAACATGAAGCCTCAATCCCGTACGTAATTAATACGTGCGGTTTGTTGCTGGCAGCTTTGCGTGTGTGGCGCGCCTTTTGGTGCCGATGTGCTCAGCCACGTGGCACAGCCTCCCGCCCTTGCACAATTTGATTTTCTTTCCAAGTTGCGCTAAACGCATCGACGGGTCGACATTCATCGATCGTCCGCACGAAGAGACGCTTAATAAAAGTGAACGCAGCTCTCCCGCGAAAAATAATCCGAGCGCTCGGCAGCTCCCATCGATGAGCGCCGCGGGCCGGCGTCGCGCCTTGATGAGCGTCGCCCGAGTCACGTCCACAACGCGCTGCGGTCTGCACACATCTTGACTTTATTGTGCTATACATAGTAGTGTATCTCATCATCGTTATTATTATAATCATCATTATTATTATTATTCATGAATCAGTTGTCACCAGGGCTTAATTTCAGCCGGGTCGGTGGCCTGGAAATTATTTCCCGCACCCCGGCACACCATATTCCGTATACCACCTCTCGCTACGGGCTGTGGCCACGACAGCAGTTACGTGCCACCTGCTGCATCTACCAGCGACCCATAAAATATTTCCCGCACCCCGGCACACCACACCCAGTATAACACCTCTCCCTACGGACTGTGGCTATTTGCGGCAGTCACGCCGCACCTACTCCAGTCTACCAGCGACCTGGAAAACATTCAGAGAGAAATTAAGCCCTGGCTGTCGCGCCATTCGGTGTAAACGAACATCGACCGACGAGACGAGTTTTAATTATTGCACGCGAACGAGACGGCGACGAGAGGCACTCTTAGGGCTCGTGTTCTGCACGGCGACGAGCGGACGTGGTCTCGCTGCCACAACCAACACGCACGGCCCAATCTACACACACACACACTGCCCAGAGCAGGGGCCGGTACCAGGCTAGGTGGAGAAACGTCGGTGGTACCGCGCGAGCGGTTCACAATCGCAAGTTTGCGAGTTGCAAATCCTGGCTGGTGGGTTTCCGCGGGGTGGGGTTTGACTCGGCCCATCATTCCCTTGGGAGGGGCTCAATAAAACGGGTACGCTTTATTGGTGAAGTCAACAGTGGGTCGTCCTATGTGTATAGACTCTCTCCACGCCCATAGGAAATGAGGAATTTCCACGTGGGCTGATCACGGTAGATGATCACCACTGCCTCTCAATGATCGCTTGAGCAGGACATCGTTCAGCCTCGGTGGCCTGGTGGAAGTGGACACGGCTCCTGGTGGGGTGGGGGTTTAATTCCCCATCTCTCTGTAGTCGGGCGCGTGGGCCCATGCGGGCGGCCCCGGCCCAGTTGTGCCACGGGGGGTGGGGCGCGAGTACCGAACCGGCCGTGGTGGGGGACACCTTGGTGGTGGGGGACACCGCCGATGATGGCCCGTTGGACAAGCACATCAACTCTTCCTCTGCCTTTTTGTCACTCCACTGCTGGACGAGCGCCTCCACTCACCGCGCGGACTGTGGGGGGATGGTATTGCCACGCTGCAAAGCGATGCTGAGCGAAGGTTTGATGATGGTAATCGTTTGTTTTTGATATTACCTCCCTGCCGACGCAAGGGAGGCTGGTGACGGTAAGGAGCACAAACGTTGGAGCACATCACAGCACAACAGTGAACTTTGCTGCACTGAACTCGGCCCACGCGCACTCTGCAGGCGGAGCCCTGCTTAGCTTTCAAGATCTGGCTAGATCGGGCATTTTCATGGTCATTTGGTCCGATTGGCATACGTTTAGAAGGACCGATATCTTTATATGGCCAAATGAAAGTTAATGTTGTGATCGCCTACTCCACCGAGAAGCTTATGGGCCTTGCATTGAGACCAGGCTTTAAGTATTTTCTGCTTAAACAGCTGAGATCTCGCGGGTCCAGGATAGGAGTATCGCCAGGTGAGTGCGAGTGACCCGGTGTGTCTCTGACACTTTGCCAGCTTGGGTGAGAGTCGATGACGCTGCCAACCGCCTCGGAGCCTCTTGGGACGAGCGCTTGGGCCACGAAGCAGGGCAACGTACAGTGCGGCACACGTGTGGTCGTAGACGCGTGGCCCTGACGGGAGTGGCCTTTCCGTTAAATCAAATTTCTAAAAGTAGGGGGGGGGGGCGGCGGGGGAGGGGCCTCACGGTGCGATTTGTTGTACTCTGTCGACGGAATGACTTCTTGGCGTTACGGAGTCCGCGTCTCTGCGTTGTTGTCGCTGTCCGCCGCGCTGGTGGTGCTGAATCGGACCGCGAGTGCGAGCGACGCAGTGGGCGAGGAGGTGGAAAGCGGCTCAGCCGCGTTCACAAAGCGGATCGTGCGCGCGTGTTTCTTCGTGGGGATTTTTTTTTCTCACTCCGTTTCGTCGAATCGTCTTGACCGCCTCGCGGGAGAAGAGAACGGAAGCGATTACTGCTTTGGGCTGATTAGGGAGCCTCTCCGCGGGCTTCTATCTCTCTCTATATACACACACGCACACATTACGCAAATACAAAATCACACGTCTGTTTCAGGGTCCACCGGCGCTAAGCCAGACCAACCCTTAGCCATTCTAGAGGATTGGAAATGGGCCCATGTGTACGCTGGGCTGTGAACTGCAGAACATTCACGTTGTAATAAATAGCGACCGTGAGTGACGATGGGCAGCGAACTACAGTCTAGACTGAAGGCGAGCCAATGGACGCGTTGCGTGAAACCGTCAAGAGTTTTTTGTGTGTGTGTGACGTAGACGTACGTGTGTGTGTGTGTGACGTAGACGTACGTGTGTGTGTGCGCGCGCGCGAGTGCCACGTGTGTGCGTGTTTCTGCTGCTGCGTACGTGTCCACGCCTTTTTACCGTATCGCTCTTCGATGGGCTCTCTTCACCGAGTTCCTCAAGAACAGCGGTTCTGAACCTTTACTGCAGACTTGCACCCCTTTGGTTCTCAATCGTAAAACATGTACAGTGTCAATGAACACATGTAGGTTTGATGAAACAAAGTGAGTCGTAACTTACGTGCCCGTGGTTAATTTGTGTTTCGATTATTTACCTGCTAAAAAAAACCGCCCATGTCTTGCACCCCCAGAAAGGGCATCTCGCACCCCCTGGGGGGGTGGGGGGGTGCGGGCACCACAGGTTAAGAACCACTGCTCAAGAAGCTCCTGGCACGTGGAGTAAACCGTCGGACGTCGTGCTGAACGACACGCGGTACGACCCCAGAAAGGTGTTGGAGAGAGCTCCGTGCATGCGTGCGTGCGTGGGGAGCGGTGGCGTAGTGGTTAGCGCACAGCGCTACGAACGCGGCAACCCGAAATCGTTTCCCGCGCATGACCAATAACAGTGGCGAATATTGAACCGGTCGTGGGTCTCCCCTAGGTCGACTCGGCCTTAAATTAGTACCTGGTGCGGTGTGTAAACATCAACACTAGGGAGACAAAGGTGGTCAGGCTCGGTGTGAACCACAGACCCCCTCGTGTGCTGTGCAAGCCTTCATAGCTGCTCGCTAACAGCACTTGCTCCAACAGTGTTAAAGGCTATATGGGGGATCTTCGTCTATATATGTGTATATATATACGCAGAATTAAAGCACATTGCTCATTCTGGCATTATACAACAGCATTAGGACCTCCTGTGCAATACACCTGTGCTATCAGGTTCAGGCAGTAAGCACCTCTGCTGATTCCACACAGATGGTGTACGTGGGTGAGCGTCGATCCATCGGAGATGAAGTTCTTGGTTGTGGTCAGCGTGGCGTTCCTGCAGTCCAAGTGCCGATGACGCCGCCACGGCCTTTATTTGCCACCCCACCCGGCACACCACATCCAGTATACCTCCCCCGCTATGACTGTGGCTACGACTATTCACGTACCACCTACTCTAGACTACCAGCGAGGAATTAAGCTGTGAGCATTGTGGGGATTTCGTAAACGGGTTTTTCCAGATGTTGACTTCAGTCTCTCAAAGTTGCTTCGAATTGCAGAGAGAGAGGGTGATGGAGAGACACAAGGCGACTTCAACTGCGGGCTCTTCCTGAACGCGTGTCCGCACGTCATCGCCGAGACACAACTCCGGCAACTTCTCCCCAATCTCTCGCCGCGGTTTGGCTCCAACGCCACACACCCGGATCGGGTGGCCCTAATGGGTGGCCCCGTTGGGTGGCCCCGTTGGGTGGCCCCGATGGGTGGCCCCGTTGGGTGGCCCCGTTGGGTGGCCCTGTCTCGCCACGACGGGCAGCGCAGCGTCCCCCACTCCCTCCTCCCGCTCGTGGCGTTGTCTCCGGGCTACTGTGAGAGCAGTCGAGTCGTGGTGCACGCACGCCATGCGCACGTTGCGCCCGATCGTCAGTCAGTCCACCACGGGCTCGCCGTGTCTGCAAGATACGGAAGGGGAGAGCAGGGAGACTTATTGTTATGATTATCATCATCATCATTCTGCTTGTTTACCCAATAAAGCATCCACGAGGGGTCCTGCCAGGTTTTACGCAGTAGGGGGCGATGTTGCTGCTGCTGCTGCTGTCTTGGTAACTCCAATTGAATGATTTGTAAGTGACTATTTTTTATAATGGGATATTTTGCTTTAATTACAGTTAAATTGTATGGTTGTATTTAAGCTACGGAAGGAAACTGGAAGAAACCCATACAGACAAAGGACAGACGTACACAACCTCCACACACTCATTCAAACTCTGCACGAACAGGGAGAGAGCACACACAAACGTATATATGTGTATGCACGATGAACTTATTTCGTACCATACGTAGCCAACCGTGCTAATCGGAGGTGTGGGGGGGAGGACAACAAACTAAATACAAAAATCAGTTCTAAAGAAATTAGTTTCCAATCTTGATTTTAAAGTGCATAGCTCCAGTGAGCTTCCTAATATCTGAATGAAGAGCGTTCCAGACGGCCGCAGAAGCGCATCTGGACGCAGTTTGGCGGCTTCATATCGCTGCGCAAGTGGACGTGGCACGCACACGAGCGAAGCGTGGGTCAGGCGGCGGCGAATTGGCGACGACTACGCAAGCCCCACGCCTGGTGGAGGGACACATTGGAAGCCCGTCACGGGTTTGTGATGTTTCCCGTAGCGAGAGCGGCGGGCGTTTCTCGTCGCGGGATCTCTGCGGTTTTTTTCATTATTGACTGAGCTTGGCTCCGCGTCTCTGAGTTGCGCGCGTTATAAATTGCATTATTATTATTAAATGAAGCAGCATCGGACGGTCGCAAACAACAACAAAAATCCCTGAAATCTTCCTGGGAAGGCGGCGGTGGCGAGGGCAGCGGCAGCAGCTGAGCCGCGCTGCTCCTCGCGAGAATCTCGAAGCTTTAGCAGCTTTTGCTCCCTGAAGGCGTTTGCGTGCCAGCAATTAAGAAAAATGCTGTGTGCGTGCATGCCTGTGTGTGTGCACGCTTGTGCATGTGTGCATGCCCGTGTGTGAGTTTGTGCATGTGTGCATGCCCGTGTGTGAGTTTGTGCATGTGTGCATGCCCGTGTGTGAGTTTGTGCATGTGTGCATGCCCGTGTGCGAGTTTGTGCGTGTGTGTATGCCCGTGTGTGAATTTATGCGTGTGTGTATGCCCGTGTGTGAATTTGTGCGTGTGTGCATGCCCGTGAGTTTGTGCGTGTGTGCATGCCCGTGTGTGTGTGCATGTCCGTGTGTGCACTTCAGCGTGTGTGCATGCCTGTGTGTGCGCTTATGCGCGTGAGTGCCTGTATGTAGGGTGGAGCTGTTGCGTCATGATTAGTGTGCTGTGTTCACCTGTGTGTGTTTCTGTGCGTGTGTGTACCTGTGTGTTGGGGAGCGGTAGTGTAGCGGTTAGCGCGCTGCGCTACGAACCCGGCGATCCGAGTTCGGTTCCCGCTCACGGCCAACATCAGTGACGATTATCTGAACCGGTCATGGGCCTCCCCTAGGTCGACTCGGTCTTAATGAGTACCTGGTGCGGTGTATAAACATCGCCACTAGGGAGACAAAGGCGGTCGGGCGTGGTGTTGGCCACCCACTCCCTTGTGCGCTGTGCCGGCCTCGATAGGTGCTCGCTAGCAGCACTTGCCCCAATAGTCTGAGCAGGCTATACGGGGGATCTTTGTCTTTTTATGTATCGGGGGGGGGGGGAGTCTTTTCATGTTTTGAGGAGCGGTGGTCTAGCGGTTTTGGCACTGCGCCGGCGACTTGAGTTCAATTCCCGGCCACTCATACGCTGCCCATGCCTTGATAGGCGCTCGCTAACAGTGCCTGCTCCGACACAATCTGTTTAAAGCAACGAAGGGCACCTCTGTGCGCACCTGTGCACCGAACGCACCGGCGGACGTTAAACGAAAAAAACCGGCAGCTGTGGCAATTTACTGCCGGAATAAATGTAGCGAACCTTCAGCAGCTGCACCGCGAATGGGCCGGGCCGCCCTCGTTTGCGAAGGAGAAGCCGGAGAGGAATCTGCATTATAAAGCAACTTTCATTGGCGTGTTCGTGCGAGTGGGTGGGGGGGGGGGCGCGCCCCCTCTAACGCGCTCCGCGAAATTAACACGCGCTCCGGCCGCGGCGGCGGCGTTTCTGTTAGAGGCTAAGTAATTAAGTTTAAGGCGAACGGTCTTCAAGGTCGTCCGAGTCTGTGTGTGTGTCTCTCTCTCTGCACGGGACAGCAGAGCATCTCTCACCGAGAAGGGGAGGGATGGATGGAGTTGGTGGGGGCTGGGTGGGGGGGGGGGCGTAGCGGGGGGAGGAGGATTGGGCGTAAGCCGCGTGGCCAGGGCGTTAGCAGACGTCGGGACCCCCAAGCAGCTCGAGGGGCCTTGGAGATTTATAGGATACATTATGGGTGCATTAAATATCAGGGGGGGGGGGGATTCCCAAGTCCTAATAAACATAACGAGATCATTAACCCGAGGCCAATTAATCTCTCCCATCTCTATCTTGTCTTCATTTCTCTTCTGTCATCTCACTACATCTCGACCTCATCAACAACTTGTCGATGTCTGCTGGAGGCCAGGATGATTTGGGATGACCGTGGCTCCAAGGGCCCTCACTAGGACGTCAGGACCAAGGCTTAATTTTGATGGACTAAGACCATCCCAAACCCCACCCCCCACCACCAGGATATATGTTTCTGGAACTCAGCCCTGGATAGCTCTGGCTGAAACAGATCCCTGGTCAGAACAATGTAAAACTAAACTAGCAACTTTTTTTTTATTTTGCCAGATAAGGCCCACTGAGTTATTATAGCTCTTTGTTAGAAACGACCTGGCCACAAATGATAACCCGATTACGTGGCTTATCACGTGGACATGCATAGGAGCCAAATATTCTAAACGCATGATCATTCTAAATGTGTGTGTGGGGGGGGGGGGTGGGGGATCGGAGGACCCAGATAAAAATCCACGTGACCACGGTGAGAGGGACACGACACGCAAACTCCAAATATACAGCAGGCGTCAGCATCGGGCTCAAACCCACGACCTCCTGTACACCAGGCAAGGGAGTTAAAGACAAACGCAGAATGGGGCCACAATATACATGAGGCCGCACCCAGATAAATATGTAAATATGTATATATATACACTGACATTTATTTAGATGTTCAAAACTGTTTACTGAGACTGTAAACAAAACTCGCAGTCGAGTCTGACACGATCCGTAGATATTATCGACTTGTTGCTATTGAACCGCCACGTTGGGCTGCAGTGCGCCGTGAATTATTTTGTCGTGGGCGCACGGGGCGCGATCGTGTTCAACGCTCCGGCACTTGCTGCAAGTGCATTGCAATGCCGTCGTGAGGATTGATTCACTCCTGTTTGTTGACCTTACGATCATTGCAATAATGGCCACTCCATCATTTGCATTGATGGCATTGAGCTCCAAGTGTAATGATCTCTTTTAAAATATAAATTTATATATATTTTTTTTATATTTCCAGCCGTTAGCCAAACCCACGGGAGCCACGTGGTGCTACGGCGTCCGAGCGGAACGGACGACTGAATGGCTGATAGAAAAAAAATCAGATTGGACGACACTGTGATGTCAGTGGTGCAACAAGCACAATTTGGTCGTACATGTTATGTATATCGTTTATTGTTAAATTTGAATCACAGTTCCTATGATCACTGTTACATTTGTTTTTTTGAGCTTTATTTTGGTGATTTTGAAAACGTTTTGGTTTAGCCATGTTTAGATTTAAAGCTTTCGTGACTGCAGGGATTCACATTATGGTTATTTCGGTGAAGTCACGTATAAGGGAAACAATAAAATAATAAAAATATTGCACTTATAAGGGAAACAATTAAATAATATATATATATTTTATTATTTTATTGTTATTTTATTGTTTCCCTTATACGTGACTTTACCGAAAGAACCAAGAATATATTAGCCATGTTTGTTTGTTGTAGTACAAAGTTAGCCTGGTAACTTAATCTAAATTGTCTTATGGTTGTTATTGTTTGACTTGCTTCCCACTGGAATTTTTGCACACAGCGTTGAAATGCGGTGTTTTTTCCGGAAGACTTTGCTGTTTTTTCCTGGATTTTTCTGTTGCACGTAGTCACTTAAAGATGTTTCTTGTTCATGTTTTTTGTTTGTTGCGGTTGCACCCGAGTCAAGAGCCGCATGGCTCACAGGGTTATACCTCCTAATAAATTAAACTGAAAACTGAAACCCCTGCACTCGTTCGTCAATAACATTGTGGCCTTAGTGTATACATCTGCTTTGAAGATGGGCCATTGATTTTATGATAATACAAAACAAATGTATTGTAAACCCTCGTGCACATTGATGCCACATCTCTGTTGGTCAGTCGCTAAGAGGATGGCATCACGAGCATCGGCAGGGCGTGATGTGCGCCTTGCTCTCCCCACACTCTCCTCGCCCTCTGCAGGACCTGAGCTGGAATCCAGTGGTCCCCGGTTCGATCTCCCAGCGCGGCAGTTGAAACAATGGCGGCAAGTTTCCTAAATCCCCCAGCCGCACCGCCTCGGTCCAACCGGCAGTGTGAATGGGTCCACCGCAGTGAGTCCTTCGTCAGGCCGCGTACGGTGGGGTGAAGCGCGGGTACTCCCACCTCTCCCAACACGTCTGACCGTCGTGGAAGAGTAGGCCACATACCCTGCAGAAGGGCTATCTCTAGAGCTCCCTCCTGCGGGGAGGCCCTGCCGGCAGCAGCGGCTCGATCAGGAACTTGCGGGGCTGCACCTTTGCCTTTCACCTGTCTGCGTGACGTTTAAGATCCCACGCGGAGGCGAGGGACTTTTAACAAATCCGCGTTTTGTTTCCCTCTCGCCTCTGACAACGATGACGCAAACAAACGTGAATAATGGATTTGTCTTGCCTGCTAAGAGTGTTTTCGTTCGAGTCAGGTGGATTATTGTTGTGGAGGCGCCTATCGGGTCGCGTCGCATCTTTTCCGCTCGCTCGCCCACACCCCGGGGCTCGCCCACACCCCGGGGCTCGCCCACGCGCGGGGGCTTCAAGCAGCTAAAAGGGGGCCCGCGGATTCAGAAGAAAAATATATCGATATGAGCGTGCCAAAAGTCAGCTAAATGTCAGAGCCTCGTGTATTTCTAAAACGTTGCCACATCTCCGTCTCTTGTTTAAATCTCTTCAGGCACCTCACAAGTTCCTGTATTGAAAGTTAAAAGTAGCATGAAGCCGGAGTGATTTCTGACTCGAATGGGCATTCAGCCGTTGGTGCTCAACTCCTGTTTAGAGCCCTGAGCCAGTGGTGGGCAAATTCGGCATTTCCGAATTTGATGGGGGTTAGTTTCTCCATATATTAAGCATGGTTGACTTGCCCACTTTATTGACTACCCCCCCCCCACCCAAGGAAAGGATGATGGGCCGAGTCAACTCCCCAAACAAAATGCAAACTCGAAATCTCGGCGATTGCGAACCGCTTGCTCTACCACTGGATCCACCGGCCGGTCAATTGAAAAGTGGGAGTTAAAAAAATGTTATGGTTGGGGTTAGAACCGGGGTGAGTGTTACAAACACGATTACCGCATTGTGCGCTTTTAGATGCGCTTCTGTGGCCGTCTGGAACGCTCTTCCTTCCGATATTAGGAAGCCACTGGAGCTACGCACTTTTAAATCCTGATCTAGAATTCTAGATCGACAAACTCACTTTTTTTTAGAGCCGCTTGTTGTGTTTAGTTTGATGTCCTTCCCCCGCACCTCCGATTAGCACGGTTGGCTATGTACGGTGCCAAAGAAGTTCAACACACCGATGTGCTTAGAACCGGCGCCGGCGCTAGCCGCAAGTGCCGTGCTCCGCCGCCGAACCGGCACTCACCACGCCTGCGACGCCGCCGCGTCCTGCGCCGAGCAGCCCGGCGCCGTCGTCACCGCGGAGCGCGGCTGCGTCACCAGCAGCGCCGTGGCCGTCGTGGCCACGGGCAGCGGCACCGCCGACGGCGCCGCCACCGGCACCGCCGAGTACGACGCCGAGACCGACGCCGAGACCGACGGCGCCCCAGACGGCGTCGCCGCGCCCTTGCCGGGCCCCGCGGGGCCGAGCGCCGGCGAGCCCGCTGCCGCCGCGTTGGCCTGCGCCGAGCCGGGGCAGCCGGGCCCCCAGAGGCACTGCAAGCCGCAGCGCGCCAGGTAGACGCGGCACAGCTCGTAGTTGGTGGTGCAGTAGAAGAGCAGGTCGACGGCCACGAGGGTGATCATCAGCAGGCCGTAGATCCACACGCCGATGAGGCCGCCGTAGTTGCTGTGGCGGGGGAGGAGAGGAGACGGTGGGGAGGAGAGGCGGGGGCGAGATTGCCTCGTGCGTTAGCTCTAGGTCGTCTCTGTTCGTTTGTAGAGGTGGGGGGGGGGGGGGTTCATGATAAATCTCGCAGAGAGGATCTAATCCAAGTGAAGTGTTCCCGTGGAATTGTGTTGTTGCCCTGTAGGTAACCGGCCACATCAATCACAGGGCTATGCCCAAAGACCTGGCGGTACAATACCAGCGGTAATTGATGAGGCCTTTCGGCCAACGTGGCCAACGTGACGACGTGACGTGCGTGATGTCATACCACGCACGTGCGACGTCGTGATATGACATCACGCGTGTAACGATATCACATGTAGTGATGTCATTTCACGACGTCGCGCGTCACCTGGAAAGGGGATGGCTCCGAAAGTTAACGGGCAAACGTTGGACAGCGTGACAAAATCCGCGTTGTCAATTTGAACCGAATAGGCCCCGTTGCTATTAAGCGCAAACACAACACACACACTTGAGATGCCAGCTGCAGCAGGTGTCACCTCGTCGCATTTATTTTCTACACTCATCCAGGGCTTGCTGTAATTTCAACTGGGTCAATTATTTCCATACCCGGCACACCACGTCCACCATACCCCCAGTTCCTTCTCTATGCCGCCTCTGGGCCTACTCTGGTCTACGTGCGACCCCACAGAAGATTTACAGCAAGAAATTAAGCCCCGCCAATCCAATCGATATTCCAAACGTTCCGTACACAAATCAACGGCGCTTGCTCCATGAATAAAAAAAAATCGCACAAATTCTCAGCGGAGTGATTAATGAAAGCCACGCGGGCAGCTTCCACTTTTCCTTCCCGCGCACACCTCCCTCGAGCACGACCGTCTACGTACGGTGCCAAAGAAGTTCAACATGCATACGGAAGGTCCCCACGGAGGGTCCCCCCGACGGAAGGCCCCGACTCACTTGTGCCCGTAGGCCACGGCGTCGGCAGTGAGGTTGACGGCCATGACGTGCTGGAACTCGCTCTCGTTGCAGCAGTACTTGAGCGTGGCGTTGCTGCGCCGGCAGCAGTAGAGGCGTGCCTTGTCGTCGGAGAGGCGCGGGCAGTGGAAGCCCGGGTGGTACTTGTCCACGTGGTCCGTGTACGGCTCGCACACGCGGTGGTACGCGCCCAGCCCTGCGCACGTTACCGAGGGGGGGGGGGGGGTTGGGGATGGGGGGGACCTCGTTAATGTCACGCGGCTGAAATTCCGCGTGTCCGGTTTTTGAGGTTGAGGCCGTGTGTCGTATTGGCCGACTTTTAGTTTTTTTTAAATCTCTTTTCTCATCTGAAGGAGGCTCCTGGCACGTGTGTCGAAACGTCGGACTTAGTGCCGAATCTACGCGCACCGGGGAGCGGCACAGCAGCACGACAGCAACAACACCCCCAACGCAGTGGGGACTCCTCGCGAGCGAACCGAGATTTGGTTGCCGCGAGGGCTCGTGTGGGGTCATGAAGGGCGCGTGCTCGGTGTACGGTCACCACCCGTCCCTTCCCCACCCCTTCCCACCAAACGCCCCCCCCCCTCCCCACGCGCCACCCGCGTGTTTCCCCACCGCGGCTGAACCGCGCGGCCCTCACCTCCGACGATCAAAGCGCAAAGCAGGGCCGTTGCCACGGTGACGGCGCTGGCCAGGCCCCTCGTCATGGTGAGGTCAGGCGTCGGGGTCGGAGGGCATCACAGCCGCACGTCCGCGCCCGAACGCGTCGCTGCCGCCGCCGCCGCCGCCTCCTCCTCCGTGCGGCCACCGCGCTGAAACGGGAACGGTTCAGTTGGCGTGAAGCCACCAATTACCGGGTAGCGCATGCACCGAGCGGGGACGGACGGCTCGCGTCCCGCCTCCACCCTTACCTCCCTCTACTGCACCCCCCCCGCCCACCACAACAAGGCCCCACCCCAACACCACCCCCGTCTCCCTCGCTGGCAATCTGGGTTCGTGTGTTGACGCACACTTGGGGTGGCATTGAGAGTTTGTAAATAGGATCACGCGGCCGCGAGAACATACACCCCGGGTCCGTGACATATCACGTGGGTCCCGCTGGTGGACGGGACGCGTAGCTCGAGGGGGGGGGGGGGGATGGCCGACGGTCGGAACGCACGCAGCGTCCGAGAGGGACGTCCGCCGGCGAGATGGAGCGATGAAAGCGGCGCGTGTGAGCCGGTGCCACGTGGATTGTTACACCGCAGGAACATGAGAGGCGGCGGGAGCGGCGGTGTGGAGGCCTTCGTCCAGCAGTGGATTGTCCACGGCTGATGATGATGATTATGAATGAGAATTGAAATCGCTCGGCGTTACGAGGTCGAAATGTATCCTCGGGGAAACGGCCTCGTCTCCGAGATTGCTTCCGCGGCGCCGTCTGCCGGGGGCTCGCGCGTCGCTGACGCATCACGCGTCGCTCTGCTGGGAGCCCCAGCGGCGCGTTCTGAACTCGGATAAAGCCCTCGGGGGGGGGGGGTAAGGGGGGGCGGGCGGGGGGCGGGCGGGGGGCGTCTACCTCGATGGCCAACGGAGCTCGGTGGCGGCCAGCGCAGGGGGCGAGCGGCGTCGTGCGGCCTGTGAGTGTCGGCGCTCCAAGTACCGAGCAGGGGTCAGACCCCACGAGTGGCCGACCACCGGCGCGTCGCGGCGGTGCCCTGGGCGCGCTCAGTCATGCGAATGAACCCCGCGACCCAAACTGTAATCCCGGCCAGGGCTAGATGAGCAAATCCCGGGCTTCTCCTAGGATGACTCGGACTTAAATGAGTTCCTGGTGCGGTGTGTGAGAACGTTGGAATTTGGGGAGTCAAAGGTCGCGGCTCATGGCCACACCGTCACTTCGTGTACCTTGCTGGCCTTCAAAGGTGCTCGCTAAAAGCACTTTGCCTGAACGGCCATCGCAGTTCTTTTGTCTTTGTGCGCGCGTGTGTACACATTTTGCACAATGGGATGGGGCTGTGTGTTGGAAGCGTTCAGTAATAGCGACTGGAGGACGGTGCGTGTGTGTGTGCGTGTGTGCGTGTGCACGTGTGTGCGCGTGTGTGCGCGTGTGTGCGCGTGTGTGCGCGTGTGTGTGCGCGTGTGTGTGCGTGTGTGCGCGTGTGTGTGCGTGTGTGCGCGTGTGTGTTCGTGTGTGCGTGTGTGTGTGCGTGTGCGATAAACGCGACGTTTTTCCAATTTCCTCTGAAATTGAATTGAATGTTGCGCGCATGCAGCAACAGATCGCGAGAAACGTCACCGCATCGCCTCTTCCCCCCCACCCACTCCCCCGTGCATGGGGGAGGGAACCGCAGAGAGACGATGACACTCCGTCGCCGCACACACACACACACCTGCGCACCACACACGCACCACGCACCACACACGCACCTACGCACCACGCACCACGCGTCGCCCGTCAGCACCCACACCTGGGCCCCCACCTGGGCTCGTGGCTCCAGCGGCTCGCGATGGAAATGTCGGCGAGTTAAAACCGTGATCGCAGGCATCCACCATTCGGCCCATCATCCCTCCAGGGGCCGATAAAACGTTGTCAACGCTTTTTACGTGTTCAACGGCAGGTATCCGATTGGCAGGCTCGCTCCTGCCACGGGATTGTGGAATTTCCTGCATTGGCTCAGGGTCATTGGGGCAGAGAATCACTTCCATTGGGTTCGGGTTAGGATTAGAGATGGGGTTTGGTAGGATTAGAGATGGGGTTTGGGAAGAAATGGGGTTAAGATTTAGGGTTAACGGTTAGGGAAGAGGTTAGACATAAGGTTAGAAGTCTGCAATATATTTGTAGTGAGGGATAGGGTTATGGATCCAGTCAGAGATGGGGTCTGGGCTCTGTATCGGTTTAAGATTTAGCGTTCGTGGATCGGGATCTGGTTAACTTAAAGGATGCATTTCGGGATGGTGTTGGGGTTGGGGTCGGTGATGGATCGATTTGGACATGGCCCTCATTGCCACGGCGGCAGAGCTGAAATGGAAAGGGCGACTAGGCGACTTCCCTCTTCCCTCGTCGGCAAAATGAATTACTTGATGTAACACGGAGGTGATCCATTTATAGATACTCCGCTGACTTGTATTGACCCTCCTGCAGCAGGTGATTAAATCATGTGATGGCTATGTCAGCCAGCGTGGATAGGGATAGATTAAGAAGACGTGGTAAGCGTTTATGGGTTTAATGGGAGACGCATAGAGGTTTTGAAAATGTATAATGTAGTTTCCTCCATAATGTATGCCCACTTTCATTGGGTATCTATAAATGGATCACCTTGTATTTCCTGAAATGATCTTATTTATTGCTCTGTTGTTGTATTACCACTGGGTGACACAACACGATGATTTGCTCGTCAGCCGTTTTGCCATTAATTTAGTTAACCTTTTGGAAGATTGCGAGTCGTTCCAATCCCGATTCAGCGATCGGCTCGGCCCACCATGCCCTAAGGAGGTCGATAAAATACCCACCAATTTGTCGGGAAGTCAACAGTGGTTGTCCTTATCGAGAGCGACTATCGCTCCCTGCCATAGGAACGTGGAACTTGCACCAGTGGCCCCGGGCAGCAGATGAGCAACGCCCAATGATCACCTCCTCTATAGGTTAGAGAGAGAGATTGCCTCTTCCTTTTTGAGACGTAACCTCTGTGGTGTCGTGCGATTTCTCTCGAGCAACGTCGGACCTCGTCGCCTATGGCTGCCTCTGTAGCCCAGGGCCTCCTTGAAAAATGAGACCTCTCATCTCTATGGATTGTCGCAACGCTTGAACGCTGCGGGATGTCGCTTCGACAGAATCGATATGATGAAGGAGGAGGCTGTTGGAACCTGCGTGTCGACATTCCCCTCCTCTCAGTGGCGGGGAACACAAAATAAGAAAGGGCCACGTTATGATTTTTTATTAATCCATTACTCCGTGTAATAAGTTCACCGGGGAGTGGCGGCACAGTGGTTAGTGCACTGCGCTACAGATCCATCAACCTCTGCGTTCATTAAGGCGGTCACCGCATCGCGCGTTTTCGGATGCGCTTCTGTGACCGTCTGGAACGCTCTTCCTTCCGATATCAGGAAGCCACTGGAGCTACGCACTTTTAAATCAGCATCTAGATTGAAATACATTTTATTTAGAATTAATTTTTGTGTTTAGTTAGTTGTCCCTGCCCTGCACCTCCGATTAGAAAAAAGTTCAACACATACATTTCCCGGCCACAGCTGATATCAGTGGCGAGCAATATAGGAACCTGTCCTGGGTCCCTCCCCCCCCCACCCCTCTCTCCCCCCCCCCACCCCTCTCTCTCTCCCTCACCATGATGCACCCACACTGACCCAGCATGGCGAGGCATGGTCAGACAATTGAAGCAATTGGCGGACCCCGGGGTCCCATCACTGCCCTGGGGTGGGAAAAACCGCGTAGCGACACGAGTCTTGCCTTACCGACAACAAAACTAGTGTCAATCGATTGGCCTCATCGAGAGCTACTCGGGACACTAAGTTTCGTAAAAAGTTTACAAATGACATCAACACGTTAAATTCACTGCCTGGGGGCGGGCTCGCCTTGGCAAAGAAGCTGAGGATCGACGGCTGACCGGAGGGCGTCGTCGCCGCGCGCGACTGCGGCGGACGCCCCCCGGGGCTCGCGTTTGGCCAGTGGAGTGGCGCCCATCGTGTTGATCGCCACCTGCTGGCGCTTGTTGGCGCGAGTCTGGGCGAGCGGCGCGTTGCTGTTGGGATCACGAGTGGCCGGACTGAAAAATAATAATTATTGACCTGATTTTTGCGGGACCCTGGGGTCCCGCCAAATGATTCAAGTATCCATGACTGTCACGGCGTTGGGAGGCCCTCGTCCAGTGGTCTAGTGACAAAAGAGGCTGTAATTTTAAAATCTCACACGTTACACTTCAACATCAGTGGAAGAATCTTCATCCCAGGGCTCAGTATCAGCCAGATCTGTCCGGATCGGTGAACACATTATCACATTATCTTACACAGCACACCACTTCAAGGATGCTTCTTGCTGTAATGGCTGGGACTATTATTAGCCACGTGTCACGAACTGCAGTCTACCAGTGACCCGATGGAAATATTGAGTGAGAAACTTTGCACTCGATCTATATAGAGACATATAATATACTCGCGTAAAATTCCAAAGACTCGCACAGAGACCCATAGAATTACACAGACGCCAATAGACTTGCATAGAGACCCATGACTCATAACGTGTACACGGGGCTCAATCTCAGCTGCGTCTGTCCAAATACAAACGCAACGAGCTCCTCGCCCCAGCTGATCGTTTTGCACCGGACTCTCTACCCGGCTCGGCTGCCCAGAAAATATTTCTGCACCCGGCACACCACGGCCAGGACAGCTCTCGCTACAACGTCCGCGGTTGCTAATCGTCGCGACGCGACGCCTGCATACCGCGGTCTACCAGTGGACCCGATCCTTACAAATATTCGGTGCGAAATGAAGCCGCGCTCTAAACGAAGCGTCAACATCAAAGCCGCGTCCCCGCGAGCGCACGATAACCGAGTCTGGCTGGGCTGCCGTGGGGAGGGCGTCAGGCCGCTGCCGTTAATTGAAGGCGTCAGCAGGAAGGAGCCAGGGGAGAGCGCGGCTGACGCTGCGACTCGTGGAGAATATCGCACGAATCTTTGGCACGTGAACGTCGAGATGCAAACGGTGAACTGCTTCCCAGTCGGCTTGCATTATTTTTATATACCCCCCCCCGCCCTCCCCTTCACTGGTGAGAGGAGTGGGGCTCAGGGCAGGGTCACTTCACGGCCAGCGGTCAAGACCG